TGTTTTTAATATTTCCGTTGGTTTCCAAACTCATGCCCCAGAAAATTAACTTGTTTCTTTCCATTAGTAATTTACGAAATCACGAGTTTATTGCTTTGGCATAACATCGACTCAAAGCTTGTTAGTTTTTACACAGATATTACGAAAGACTTACTTGTAACTAACTCCAAAACTATTTGAAAAATGGACAATTGCAATGAAATGATCCCACCCAGTGGGAAGTATTTATTTTATGCATTTTATAAGGTGTGCGATAGCAGGTTCCAAATCAAAAGGCATTAACGACTATTTCTGTTTATTCACTCAAGGGCCATCGAAACTACATTCTCCTCGGATGTGCGTTTTGCATAACTACGACCGGTGTTATCCTCAATGCCCTATCTCTATGATCAGTGTGGAAGAACTCGCCATATCTTTAAACGCCTTGTGTGCTTGTAAAATCAACCAAATGCAGCCTCTTTCATCTCACTTCCTGCGTTTTTTAAAAATATAACTGGACTCCAAAGTTCGAAACCAGAGAGGTGGCAGAGCCACAACGGGTATTCAGTAATTGAAAATGTTTAAACAAAACTCAAATTGTTGGTGCGAATAATCCAGTCTGTTCCTGGATATAATGTAGTCCTGATTCAACCTGCACTTCCTACGGGAGAAAACCGCTTTGCGTCGGGTGGGAATTAAAAATCTGCAAGTTTGGATGGGCGTATCGAAGGCCATGTGTGCTGTTCTGGTTGCAAATACTGGTGCAATGGCACTCTTGATTAGTCAAGAGTAAACGCTCAAATACGGTCTCCGACTTGTTCATTTCCCTTGTCAGTGAAGCGTCACGTCCTAATTGGGCACGTTCAGCATGAAATCCAGAAACTGGTCGGTTGGCAATAGACCTGAACTATTTAATGTGCTCGGCACTTGGTATGGATGTCATGGTTACCTGAAAAGGGGTGGTAAGTCAGAGGTAGCCTTTTGTGTCTTTGCGAATAAAGGACTTCTAAGCAGGAAAAAAATCGACATTTATTTGCAATATTCCCTGAGATCGCAGCAGCAGGAATCATTAAAATATTTCCTACTTGCTTGAACGCGTTTGCCCAGTTAAGGTGCTTTGTTGGTGTTTGCGTCGCTGTGTTATCTATAAGACTGCACATCGGTCTCCTTGGTTAATTTTCAGATCCCATCTGTTCAGATTGTCATGACCCCTGAGTATGAGTAACGAGATCACGTTGTAATAGCAGAAATAAGGAGGTGCGCTTTTTAAAAATTCCAATTAGTGCAAGTGCATATATTATCTTAAAAGTAAAAATCTTCGCTTTCCTTGACCCAAAACAGTCCAATGAAATGCAAGTTTTATCGGTCCATTCAAAAATACCATTTAGTCCTGATTCACTTTGATGTGTGTTTAATACTCTTACGGTGCATTTCAACGCACTTTCTGAGGGCGAAGTCACTTTCGTGATTTTTAAAGCAGCAAAGCAACTGTATTTAAGTAGTCCTTTAAGAAAAACAGACGAGCTCTCGATGGCTGAGGAAGGGGTTTTCCAACCTTATGTTCCCAAGGTTTTTTCTGAGTGCTGTGCGTTTTAGAGTGTCAGATTGGCGGGCAGATACACTCTGAATGATTTCCTGAAAGGACAGCTGGTTGCTGGAAATCGCTGAAGCACCTGATCGACCACAGTTTGGTCAGTATACCCGAATTTACCTCAGTCAGAGCCACTATCACTCTCTCGCCAAAGCCTAAGAACTGATTTGTGCTTAGCTAATGACTCACTCCCGGATCAGAGGTTCGTATTCCCAGTTGTACATTTACTCCTGCAGTATGGCTACCTGGTTCAAACCTAAAGCAAGCCAATGAACAGCATCCTGTGGCTGTTACGGTTGAGCTAACTCCAAAATTGAAGGTTAACAATATTAAATTACTCCCAGCCTCTCCTCTCGAAATGGCTGACACTTTGATCCGGTCTTATGCAATACCTTGGAAAACTTTACTTTAAAAATAATGTGTGGATCATGGCGCCTACATTCTGAAACAAGTGAGGTACTGTCAGTGATCGAAGACTCAAAACTAGCGTTCGACGCCTATCAGTTGCAAAATAACTTTTCTCGCGCCATTACTTGACATCGGGGTAACTTCTACGAAATTTATACGAAATCTTTGAGCTTCCGTGGTTCGTTCTGAGATACACCTAAGTCCTACCTATGGCTTGTTTAGGAGTATTTAAAATACAGCATTCAATCCTTTCGGGGATTTTCCTTTTGAATGCATACTGTTAACTGCACTCTGTCCAGATGTATACTTCGTGAATTTCACTAAGGTCCATTCGGTAAAAACAGGTGAGATTGCCTACCAATAATACTCACAGAGGGCAGACCGCTGCATACCACCCAACAGCGTATATTGCCCAAA